AGTGTTTGAAACAGCTTGTGACTGGTGCTTCTGAGGCGAGCTGGGGAAGCGTCTACATCTACCAGGTGCTAATGCAGGTTGTAGCCCTGATGGGCTGTTTATCAGAGGATAGCTACACCCTGCTCCGGCCAGGTTCCCCCATGGCAAAAGCTGGGAGAGACACTGCAGCGTGGATCTGCTCTTTCGGTGCAGTCTGTCCCTAAAGACTGTTCTTAAGCAGAGATGTCTGCTGCTGGGAATATAGGCTTCACGTTCACGGGCAGGAATACACAGGCGCCCAGAAACCTCCGTGCAAGAGCCTCAGCACTGACCTGCAGAGCCCACAGGGAGAACATGAGTGTGAGGAACGAGTTGCTGCGGACAAACCCTCTCATCCTTGAGGGTTTTGCAGGAAACAGTTGACAAACGACAGAGAAACGTGCTTGTGTGGGTTTTGTTCCTTTAAGTGCAGTCGTTCTGTGTTGTCTCCAAAACTGCCCTGATGAGAAAGATATCAGTAGTTGCTGTTGATGAACTGCAGAGAGAGCAGTTGTACGGCGCAGAGGTGCAACCCGTAGGCTTGTGTCCCAGCCATTGAAACATCACTTACAGTTTTATTAAATGCACTAATTTTCAGGTAGGCAAGTAGTGTGAATTGCATCCTTCTGTCTTTAAATTCTTGTCTGTGTAACTCTCTACATAATACTGCTTGCTACTGTCACTATTCCTGGGTCAGAAAAACCTTATTGCTAGCAATTGGACAGGTATTAACATAGTAGCAAAATTCTGGTATGTCTTCGCTGTAACCAACATAAGCTGAAAATGCTAAGTACTTTCTGCTTAATGTAATAAAATATATGTGTTTAGATTACTCATTTCAGACAGAATTGGAGGATTGTTTCCAGCTAAGCTTGCTTGATTTATTTATTTATTTATTTTTAAATGGAAGAAGAGGAAGGGGAGAAAAGTTAACTACTATTTATTGCCAAGCTGCTAGCAAGAAACTTCCTTAGGTGGAGAATCATGCAGGCAGACACTTGTTTTTTTCCAACCTATTTGTTTGGTAATGAATCAGTAATATGAAATAGGTGTTGGTTTTGTATTTTGTAGCAACGTACCAACACTAGGCCCTGCCTTAAGAAAAAAGCTAAACACAGAAACCTTTACTGCCAGTTGATATCTTATGTCTGGAGACACTTACCTGTGGTTAACTCAGCGTTCTAGTATTTATTGCTCCTTTTATAGCAGTGTGGTTTAATTCCAGGTAGGTTAACTGCCTACATAGCTGATATGTGTAAGAGTATGACGGGCATCAAGTTATGCATGTTGAAGTGAGCATGTATCATAAAGTTACCTATAGGCAGCTTTTTTTATTGTGTGCATTTCCGTGAGTTAGGCAATAAAATGGAACTGAAATGGACTTTGATTTTTCTTTGTACTACAACAGGAAATAACAGTAATCTGTCATGCTGACTAAATAACTTTTTTTCTTTTCCAATCTTGTAGTTCAAGTCATTCTGCTGACTTCTACTGGACCGGCTGGTCGGTTTAAAACACAGCGTACACGCGTACAACTAAGCTGAAGGTGATCCTTAAGGTAGATAGAGAAGGTAAGAGTTTATAAATCTGCTATTCTGATACCTAACTTTTTTCTCTGGTTTTCCTGTAAGGGCAAATAACTGTCAAGTAATAAGGGACTTGTTTTCAATAAATCCTGAAGTACTGTTTTATATGATAATCTCAAAAGATGTAGTATTGTTTACCCAGTGAAAAGTCCAATGACACCAGTGGGAATTGTTGTCTGTTGCAGATACGGGATTGAAATAGAAAAGCAGATGATAAAGACCTAAAATAACTCAGGTGCCTGGTATGGGATTTAAGTTGCTTGTTTCACTAAATAGGTTTTTCAGTGATTTGATAGTTTTCCAGCCTAATTTGCAGTGTGGTTCATAGAGAGAAATGTAAAGGATGGGAATAACTTCTCAATTTTTATTCAAATAAATATGAGCCATTCTTGTTCTGTGTTTTATCTTGCAGTCTCTGTACCATGGAGAGTCTCTGTGCAGCAAATACCACTTTTGCACTTGACCTCTTAAGAAAGCTGTGTGAGAACAAAAGCAGGAAAAATGTATTCTTTTCTCCTTTTAGTATTTCTTCCGCTCTGTCTATGATTTTGTTGGGTTCAAAAGGTACCACCGAAGCCCAGATAGCAAAGGTATGTATAAATAAATGTAGGGTACTTACATTGCAACCATATCAACAGCAAATCTGTATTATTTCTGTGATCTGCATTTACACTGAACTATTGTTGTCATTCTGGTCTTGGAGAGCGGAGATCGATCTTTGGTATGTACATAAGCCGTACCTGTTTCTATAGGGGAAGCTTCTGTTTCGTATGAAATGACGAGGTTCTGTTTTTTATTGTGTGTGGGTTTTTTGTGGTTTTGTTTTTTTGAGACAGATATTCCTTCAGTATGTCATTAAGAGGTACCTAGGGTTTTTTGTAGGTTTCATGAATCTCTAGCTACATAAAATATTTTCTTCTGTCGTCTTTGGACTCTGTTATCAGACTACAGATGTTTTGAAAATGTAGCCAGGCAAATAGAAAGAAAAATAAATCTACCCTATATGCATGTCAAAGTGGTAGTTGCACCTTGGTTAATTTTTTTTAAGCTTGCTCAGGTGGCAAATACCACTTTGTGTATTTTTTACATATGCAAATAACAGTACTAAATGTAGAACCAGTCATTTTAGTTATTATGTTTGCCTCTTTTGTGAAGTGGAAGAGGTGTATAAATATTTTGTTTACATGTAAATCTAGAAAAGTTATTCTAAAATTATATTCTATTATTGCCATATTTGGAAATATTAAATCCATCTGGACATAGTCCTGGGTTATGAGCTGTAGGTGGCTTTGCTTGAGCAGGGGGACTTCCAGTGGTCTCTTCCAACCTCAACCATACTGTGATACTATAATACTTGGCTTGAGTGAAGGAAATTAAATACTGCTGATGGTAATGCACCCTAATTTATTACTTGTACAGCATCTGGCTGAGTGCATCATATGTGAGTTGCATGGAAAGCTCCAAATGAAAAATCTTTTGGCTTCAAGTCATAGTTTTTAAACCCAAAAGTCATTTAAAAAATTAAATTGAGCCGAAGCAAGTGTATTTAGAGAGGAAATGGACTCTGCTGAAGATATTTTTCTTCCTTCAGGTACTTTCTCTGAACAAAGCTGAGGATGTTCACAATGACTATGCATCTCTTCTCTCTGAAATTAATGATCCAAACAGCAAGTACATACTGAGAACTGCTAACCGACTTTATGGAGAAAAGACATTTGAGTTTCTCTCAGTAAGTTACTATTACATCTGTGGTGTTTCTTAGCTTAATGTACTTGCTGCCTATTTCCTTTGAAGGCTAAAGGCAAGCCTTGGGCTTTACTTTCCAAATTTTACGGACTGAGACCTACCAATGTGATAAATCGTGCCAAAGCCTGGTATCTGAACTTGTGGAGAGGTGCCTTTTAGATAGCCTGTGATCTGAAGGCATAACTAGTGAAAAGCACTGTAAAATCCATCAGACTAAATCTTCAGGGTTCCATAGTCCATTAATATTTTTGGCTGTGGAACAAATATTTCATGTATCTTTTTCCCCTCAATCATAAATATGTTTAAAAAAAAATTGTTATTGCTCTTCAGCAGGGGCGCTGTATTGTGTCATTTTTTATCTGTTATGCAAGTCATTCAGAGAACACACTGAAAGAAGTACCTGTCTTTAAAGGTTTTCCATGTCAGGAGATCTAAATGAGGGTAATAGGCGTTGTGCTATACATGTTTGTTTAGATGCTTCCCTAGAGGCAAGATGATATAAGACACTTTTTTTTTATTATTATTTTTTATTACCCTGGAGTGATTTACAGTAATTATTTTTATGAAGAATGCCAGTGTTTAATTTGTCTAATAGATAAAAAACTACGTGGATTGTGCTCTAAAACTTAGCGTCTGTGTAATATTAAATCAGAGAAAATGTGTGTTTTTTCCCCTCTCTAAGAAAAATCGGTTTCCCTTTTAAACTAAAAGCTTTATGTTGGTCTGGGAGATTAAACAATGAAATGTATGTAGTCTGAAGCTCAGTAAATTTTATATTCTCTCACTGAAGTAAAAACCCTCAAAACCTAGCCACTCAGTTTCTCCAGTTATGTAGAACTTTCTAGCATAACAAACAAGCCATTTGAAAACATAAAGTAGACAATTCCTAGTTCAAATAGGTGGCATAAAACCTAGTAGAATGGGGTCAGGCAAAACTTCAGTGGCTCTGTATGAAGCTGGGGGAGGAAAGCAGGCAGATTTTCTTGGTGTATTTAAGTTATCTGTGACTGAATGACAGTAAAATACTTTACTGAAGAGTTTATTCTCAATGTCCATGTTAGTCATTTATAGAGTCAAGTCAGAAAGCCTACCATGCTGGACTAGAACAGACTGACTTCATCCATGCTTCAGAGGATTCTAGAAAACAAATAAATGGCTGGGTAGAGGAAAGAACTGAAGGTGAGTGTTTTACAGAATCCCTTGTTGTATCTGATGGCAGCCGGGGCTTGGGTAAACAGCCATTTCAAGGTATAAAACTGTTAATTAAAAACAAACAAAACAAAACCGAAGCACTGAGCTTTTGCTCTGTTTGGTACCTAATTCTCTTATCTCTTGTGCATTAATTACAGAGCAGCTACTATGTTAGATGATTATTAGATACGTGTCAAACTGATAAAATTTGTTCGTTTTTTTTCTATGTATCTTAAAGGTAAAATCCAGAATCTGTTGGTGGAGGGGATTATTAATTCACTGACCAGACTTGTGTTGGTGAATGCCATCTATTTCAAAGGCAACTGGGAAAATCAGTTTGACAAAGAGAGAACAAAAGAAATGGCATTTCATATTAACAAGGTATGATGTGATAAATGTTAACAATACATTTTTACTCTGAAGTGCTCTGAAACTAATACATTTGACTCTAAGGAAAAAAATAATTCAAGCAGAGTGACCTTGGGTAGGCTGTATGAAATGCCTTATACCCCCTCCCTTTAATATGAATGCTCTTTTCGTTTCTGTTAAGTTTCACATAATTACTAGAAACGTAGTTGTTATATTAAAGTATTTATTTCATTCTGTCTCTTTATTCCTTTACCTCTCTTGTTTGTTTGAGAGCGTTCATCCTCTACATAGGTACAGAACCTAAAACTAAGGGTACACAAACAATTGCACATCTCTTTCCTGGTGACACTAAAGTTTGCATTTTAATCCTACTAATGCCTAGACACTGATGAGCTGCAGAAGTCTGTGGCTAGGCTCAAATGAGCAATTAGAAATCCTAGGTGTAAGTTAAAGTTTTAAGCTAGTTATTTTACAGTCTATCCAGTAGCAAGAATTTGCTTTCAAATCCTAAAGCTCCTAGCCTTTCCAGCATCCTGTGACATTGTTTCTGCAACTCTTGCACTACTTAGGACATAGTGGATGATTTTCACATGCTGTGTGGCCTTTCCTTTTCTTCTCCATCCTTTTCATGTGTCTTTGCTGCTGCAAAATAATTTCTGCCATGTTCTTTGTGGACATTGTCTCAGTGGGCTTTATTTTAAAAACCAAAAACTGCTTACATGATTATCTCATGAGTGTAAGGGATTAAAAAAAAGAAACTCTAATGAAAAGGAGGAAATAATGATATACACAATAGTAGCTGATGCTCCATGTGAAGATGGAAGGAGATAACAGAATTAAATTGTTACAAAAAAATCTTTCCCCTTCTTACTGTCTATGTGACTTTCAAGAATAGAAAATAATGCTCTCATTTTCTTAGCATTTTTAGTAGAAGTTTAAAATATTCTTTTTTGTCATACTTGAAGCCATGTGGTGTGAAATTATTTTGTATTATTTTAAAGCCAGGAACACAGGCCCCACTTCTCACCAGCTCTATATAGTGCATCTCACTAGTTCTTAACTGCCTCTGCCTCTTTGCCTTCAAGGAAACTTCACACACATTTATACCTGAGTAATTAAAAAATAAATCTCAGGAATCCTCACTTCTTATGCTTTACAAAAGATGGTGGTTGGGCTGTACGCTCTGTGTTTAGTGCTTTTTAGTCAAATTCCAAAAAAGCCCTCAGTAACTGTATGCCTGCTTTGTATTTTGAGACCAGCATGATAGCTGAGCACTAACTGTTGAGTTACCTTTATTTTTAGAAAGAGACGAAACCTGTGCAGATGATGTTCAAGAAGGATAAATTTAACATGACCTATATTGGAGACTTCAAGACCAAAATCCTTGAGATCCCTTATGTTGGAAATGAACTCAGCATGATCATCTTGCTCCCTGATGCAATTGAGGATGAATCCACTGGCTTGGAAAGTGTAAGTTGTTGAGCTAAAAGTGCAAAGACAGTCTGTAGCCTTCCAGGGAAGAGAGTTTGATAATGCATCTAGACCTGTTGTTCAGTTCCAAAGCCACTATGTCACTGATACTCAACATCAGCTGAAATGTCCCACACCTCCTTTCCCCAAAAATGGTTGCATTCCTTGTACCTCTGCTGGTCAAGCTGAGTGCTGCTCCTTAGCCAGAAGCTCTGGAAGAAGACCTGGCCCTCCTCAGAAGCAGAGTTTAGTTGTGATTATGGTGAGCACCATATATGGTGAGAGGTGTATGAGAGAGCTCTTACGAAGTCCTATAACTTGTCCCATAGATTTTCCATTTTGAACAGCTGGCAAATTGTCTGTGGCCCATCACCTGGAAACAGGCTCACTGGGAAGTGTGGCATCTCCTCTGATAGGAGTTCTGGCTATTTCATGCTCTTGAGTAAGGCTTTCAAACACTGACTGCAAAGAGCTTTGTGAGCAGACTTTTTAATCAGCATGTCAAGCTGAAGGAGGATCCTGTGGTTAAGACCCGGAAGAAATGGGTTCAAGTCCCTTGGGACCTTCTAGTCAGTTCCTCTGTGCTTTTACTTCTCAGGTATAAAAATGCAAAAAGCCCTGTGTAGCATGTTCTATAAAAGCAGACTTTGTGTGGAAAGGACTGATCCTTACTATATCTACCAGGAAGCATATGGGATTGATCTCAGCTGTGGCCATAGTCTCTCATGAGAGGTATAACTTGCGATTTGGGCTTGAGACCCTCTCAAGCCTGGAAAAGAAATGCTTATTATGCACTATGTAAACAAATGCAGTGACAGCCACTTTTGGCTTTGTAAAATTAACTCTCCTTGCATTTTAATTATGTAACCTTTGGGTTTTTCTTTAGCTGGAAAGAGAACTTACATATGAGAAGCTGATAGACTGGATCAACCCTGAAATGATGGACTGTACAGAGGTGAAGGTGTCTTTACCCAGATTTAAACTGGAAGAAGATTATGATCTGAAACCCCTTCTGAGCAGCATGGGAATGCCTGATGCATTTGACTTAGCGAAGGCAGACTTCTCCGGAATGTCAGCTGGCAGTGAGCTGGTGCTCTCTCAGGTAGTTCACAAGTCCTTTGTGGAAGTCAATGAAGAAGGCACGGAAGCAGCAGCAGCCACGGGCGCAGTGATGATGTTGCGCTGTGCAATGATCACTCCAGAATTCACTGCTGATCATCCCTTCCTCTTCTTCATCCGGCACAACAAAACATCCAGCATTTTGTTCTGTGGCAGATTTTGCTCTCCCTGAAAAGGGGGTGTTTGGCAGAAGAGCTGCCAACATAGTAACACTGAGTTTCTTTAGAATAGGGCTGCTCTTTTTGCACTGTCTCTTTCTTTCAGCTGTGCCTGAACCAGCTTCTGTGGTCTTCATCTCAGGCTTGAATAGAGTAACAGAGCCACTTATGCATACACAGCTACTGCCATTTACAACAACTTTCTCATCCTGTGTGCCTTGGATTCAGAGGGCTCCAACTTCATGCTGACAAAAGATACATCCCACTTCCTGCGGGATGTGGAACTGAAGTGCAGTCCCAGTTGCACTGCACTTTCATGGTCACCGGGCAGCAGGTTGGGTACTGACATGTCACAGGAAAGGAGGGAGTTAACTTTGTTTCTGGGGAGCCTGGAGCTCATCTTTAGTTCCCTTCCCCCTCTTTCCTCCTATATCTCCTTTGTTGTTGTTGGTTTTTTTTGTTTGGTTTGTTTTTTTCTGCCAGGACCATCCATTAAATATCTAAATACATTCCTGAGAGATGATTGGAGTCTTTTGGCAGCCTGTTCCAGTGCTGCAAAGCTTTCTGAGAAGACGGGGCTTTTTGTCTATCACTTGTGCAAGCACTGAGTCAAGGATGGGAATAAAAGTATGTCTTTGTACCAGATGTCCTTACAAGGTATTCAAGGGATGAGGAGAATTGCATTTTGTTGTTTGTTGTTTTGCTTTTTTTTCCACCACAGGACGCCTGGGTTTATTACTTATCACCTGGTTTATTAGCCTTTTACCAAAGACTGTAGTGAAAAAGCATATGGTGCCTATGCAATATTGCAATGACACAGCTTTACTTTTTTGCTCTTCTGCAATTTTGCTATTCATCATTTCTGAAACCTAGTTAATGCCAAAGGCACAGCTGAAATAGCTTTCCTGATGCAAGGATTTGTTGTACTATTTCTGTTCCTGAAATAATAAAAGAACCTCACAAGCTGTGGGTCTGTTTCTGTTTTCAACAGTAAATTATACTTTTATGTATAGTTTGAAGAAAGCTATTGTTTTACAGTTTCTCCAGCTTGTTTGGAATTTGCTGTTTAAAAATTGGGTTTTCCCAAGACTGCAGACTTGAGGTGCTAACTTGGGTTGCTGTCAGGATTAGGGGTTGCAGTGAAGAACCTTCTCAGCAAAGGGGTCCAGAGCCAAGTGTTTGTGTTTTTTCTGGGCAGGGCTGAAAGGTTCCTTCTGGTTTTGTGTACAGCTCCAAATCACAGCTGGGGGGTCATCATCCAGACGGTGCTTGATTGCCCTGGGCTTCATTCAGGGCAGAGCTACTTGGTTGTCACAGCTGAAGGAAACAAATGCGTGATTTGAAGGCAGGGGCTGAGGAACCCGCCCAGCAGCTGATTCATCTGTAACTCCACTTAGAGGGCTGGAGCTGGATCCTGCGGTGCCGCCCCCGGTGCCGCCCCAGCCCGGCGGCTCCTCGGTCCCGGCCCGGGCAGGTAGGCGGGCTGGGGGCCCTGGATGTGCTGGGGCTCCGCGGGGCGGGAGGGCTCGGGGGTGCCCGTCCCCGCTGCTTGATGCAGGAACGGGCCCGAACGGGACGAGAAGCTGCAGGTTTCCCTTTCCCTCGGCCCGCGCCCCCGCCCTCCGCGGCCCCGGGGCCTGCCCGGGGCGGCCGGGGCCCCC